TATATATATATATATATATATATATATATATTTTATATATGAGAGAGGAGTCTGTTTGTAATAGGCCAAGCTGGACCGAATCAAAAAACAATCATTCAAGCACAATCTCCAAGGGCTACCACTTAGGCATTGTTGCATGTCTCTCTCTCTTTACACTGGGCCTTAACGCTTAAACTGATGTTAGCCCAGCTCCACACGGCCCAAAAGCCCAATCTACCTCCCTTATGAATCGCAGAACCGTTGCAACCATCGCCAAATCACAGCAAATACGATGGTGTCCTTTCGCTTTCCGTTCTCGTTTTCTCAGACGCCGGCGCCACCGGTACCGGGCGCCGCTAATGCCTCCTCCCGCCGAATTTCCTCCGCCGCGGTATCTATCGCCGCCGCAATATCAGTCTCCGGAGCCAGCATTGCTGTTATCTCCCAAAACCCCAACGGCCAATTTCTCCAGAACACGCTGAATTTCTTCGTTTCCAGAGGAATTGGGAATTCTCCGACGTGGGGCTCGCTTTCCATCGCCAGAGATTCGTCTCCGGTGACCGAATCGAGGACTGGAGTGTCATTTCCTGCTGTACTTAAGGATTCCCAGCGGCTTCTGGGTGTTGGATTGCGGCGAAAAGCTGTTCTAGGGTTGAAAAATATTGATGTTTATGCTTTTGGTACCGCATTTCTCAAATCCAACCTTCAGTTTAAAAAAATTCTCTCTCTGTCTTAAATGTTATTGTGTTATTTGACACTCTTTGGGTTAGTGCTGATAAGTAACATTTTCTTGTCAAGGGATATATATTCGGCTCTGAAATTCACTATCTATGTTAATGCCATTTTACAGGAAATAGGTTATCTCTTGATGTTAATTTGGGATTAGAAACAGATGAAATTTTAGTAGATTGATCTTCTTGTTTTGTTGTATATTCAAGCCATTGTTCTCTTTCTTGGATTTAAGATTTAAGGTTGATTAAAGGGCACCTGTTCTTGATTTTTCAATTATTCATTTTTCAGTGTTTTTTTTTTTCTGCAATCCAAATTGAAATGTTGATATTTGATTGGTTTGTCTTTGGTGCATAGGTGTATATGCTGATGATGCTGATGTAAAGAGTTTCCTTAGTGAGAAATATGGAGAATTTTCGGCTTCCGAGTTGAAGGGGAACAAAAATTTAAAAGATGATCTTATGGAGTATGATGTAAGCATGACTATTAGGCTTCAGATAGTGTACGGCAGACTGAGCATTCGGTCAGTTCGAAGTGCTTTTGAAGAGTCGGTTGGTATGAGATTACAGAAATTTGGCGGGTCTGATAATAAAGATTTGCTGCAAAGGTAACTTTTTTCTTTCTACATTTTTAGCAATGTTTTGTTAAAGAGTGGAATGGCTGCTTATTTCTGAATTCTACAGGTTCACTTCCCAATTCAAAGATGAATATAAAATACCTAAAGGTTCGATCATTGATTTGTCTAAGGAGCAGGGCTATGTTCTTCGCACGATGAGTAAGATTTTTTCTTTGATACACAAAACATCTACTTTCAGAGTATTTACTTTCCTAATTTTGTTCTCAGAATGATCACTTTTGGCAATAGGCATTAGGAAGCGAAAAAGCTGTTTTGTGTGGATCATGAATTGCAAATTGATAATTTAATCATTACCTCTTGAAAATTGGTTTGGCTGTGATTTGAAGCACATTTTGCTCTTGAAAGTCAGTCGATCAATTTAACAATAAATCTTCAAATAGAACCATGTTTTCTGATTGATATTGAGAAACCGTGCTCTAGAAAACAGAGCCGAGAGAGATAAAAAATCAAGCCATTCACTAATTAATCTTAATTAACTTTACAATAAATCTTGAACTTGTATGTGTTTGACATGCTGTAAATCAATTTCCATTTTTCATGTTTGCATTTTGTGTAGTTGATGGGAAAGAGGTAGGAAGCATCCAGAGCAAACTCTTGTGTCGGTCGATTCTTGATCTTTATATTGGAAACGAGCCCTTTGACCGAAAAGCCAAAGAAGATGTCGAGCAAAACTTGGCAGCTCTCATAGGGAAATTAAATAGCTAAAGAGAAATTTTTTAGCTGAGTTTTTTTCGATTTGGAAAATGGATTATGGTTATGCAGTAAATAAGACTGTTTGGTTTGTCCTGAGAACTTGACAAAATGTAATAAAAGCACCAAGGTGAAAAGTTCCTAAAATGAAATGAGTTTTGTTGTGAGTTTCAGAATTTAGCTTCCATTTATGAAAACATTTTATTTTATTTTTATTCTGTTTTTGTCTTCAATAAATCATTTATTTGACCACGAACAGTTTTTTCGAGACAATCTCTGAAAACGCGATGAAATACACTCGTATGAAATCAACATGATTACATATAATGTGTAGAATGGTCTATAGAAAGGAAACCAAAATGCCAATTTTAGTAATAGTAATTAAAAAAAAAAAAGACTTGGCACCACGAATATGATTACAAAGTGGCCCCATTTAATCATGCTTGCACTCTCGTAGTGAAACATGATTTGTTAATAATATCATCATTTCTGTAATTTATAATCATTTATGATGTAGATAAATGATGTTTTTCAACACGGTTTTTTAGTTTTCAACGTGTAGTACGGATTTGCCTCTTGATACCAAATGCAATTTCTCATGAATCATAAAATTGATGCCCTTTATGGAAAAATGAGACTTAATCTGCGTAAGATAAATGAGTAAATAGTTAATAGACTTATATTTGGCTTGGATTATCATAAGTTTGAAATTTGAATATAAGTATTCAATTATAATACCCAAAGTATTACACCATTTAAAACAAAAAATTCAAACTCAAAATAAACCAAACAGGAATGTCATGCAAATCTTTTCGAAGGGTCAATATATGATTTCGGGATCAATCTTGAAGAAACCGTGTATATTGAAAAATAATTTTGCCAACTTTAAACAATGGAAAACAAAGTGGCAAATGAATAGTCTGTGAGGAAAAAACCAAAAAAATCGTGAAATAATAATAATAATAATAAAAAAAAACAATTCAACAAGGATAATTATGTTCCTCGTCATAAGGCCAAAATCATTTGGGGAAAAAATCTCTGCCCCACCTACTAACTAAAAATATCATTAACAAGAAAATAATATTAAAGAACCTGAAATGAAACTCATGAAAGAATGAAAGGAATTCTACGATTTATCACTCACAGATTAGTCTATAGTCTATACACACAACACATCAATCAGTGTGTCTCATTGAAAACCAATCCAATCACAACCACTAGGATATGTGTGGGGTACACAGCCATCTCTTAATTAAAATGCACCAAAATTTTCCACAAGAAAAAANATCTCACTTTGATTTTCCTCGACTCTTACAGCCTTTCACTAGTTCCAAACTCTTCCAAAATCCCATCTTTTCCTCATTTCCAGACCTTCCCCCCTCAAAAAAAAAAATAAAAATAAAAAATAAAATAAATCAATGCTTGAGCTCTGGAAGTTGACTTGCACCACCATTACATAAAATCGAAGGCACATTCCTTCTACAAGCCGGGGACAACCTCTGAGAACCCTCTGGAACTTTTGTCTGAGGAATGTGTTGTGCGAAAAACTGAAACGAACCTTCCGGAACTTTTGCTGTTCTAGAGAAGTTATCCCATTTCGAAGTCAAGGGCGAATAATCAGTCTGGAATGAAGAGGCTTTAGGATGCACTTGGTGCTGGAAAGTTGGAATTGGGACGAGACTTAAATGGGACGGAGGAATACCAACATTACGAGATTTCTCATCAGATGAAGGAAAGTTCTTGTTATAACCGTTCCACGATGGTTCTGGAAGCTTCTGGAAGATGGCGGAGGAGTTTTGTGAGACAGGTGGCAGTTTGTTGCTGGTGTGACCGCAGCTCATTGGCTGGACAGAAAATGAATAAATCTGGGCTGCACTGTCATTACTAGCAGAGGCGCCGTTTTTCCTCTCCATTTGTGGCGTTTTATTTGCATCGGTTTTCGAAACAGGCAGGGAGTACAAGGATGAGTTTAAGATGGATCCACTTTTGAAAGAAGGTGGTAGAGCAATATTCGGTGGAATAGGAAACTGGTAGCCGTTATTCTGTAGCATTGCTATGTATGAAGAAGTGGCTTCATTGGAAGGGAAAAACGAGCGATTAAAGGTGCCTGCATTTGATGTCTCCACATGGGATGAGGTTGCTGGAGGTTTATTTGTTAATGAATTGGGTGGCGCCATTATTGCCGCTTGATGGTGACCACCGAGTGGGAATGTGAAAACCGGGTTGTGCTGCAATTAAAATGTTTGAAACATAGTAATAAGCTTTGAATCTACCTATTTTTTTTTTTTTTTTTTTNTTTGGGATAACTTACAAATTCTACTTCAAGGTTCAGTTTAGTTACTACAAAGCCCCGTTGGGTAACTCAAAAAGGGTATTTTTCATTTGAACTTCAACAACTAGAACATGAAAAAGCAACACACTCACCAAAAAGTTACGAGCTTGAGCTTGAGCTTGGCTGGGGGCTTGTTGGAGCAGAGACTTGGCACTTGATCTGACATTGAAATCTGCAGAAACACGAGAGCTTTTATCTTCACCGGTATCACCCGTCAAATTCTTCTCCGGTATCGATTTTATGTTGGACGATTTGGTTCCATACAAAGTAGTGCCAACACCAGTCAACCCAGATGACAGGGACTTCTGAACAAGCTGATTGTGATAATGAATGTTCTCGGCAATATATCTATGTGTCGCACATCTCTTGGGTCGAGGCTGCAAGAATTTAAACTCTGGGGCCTGCATATTTTTCCCATTTTTTTTAAAATTGCTTGATAAATAAAAACTGAAACAAACTATTTCGCATTTATGAAAATCTACCTGCATTGTCAGTGAAGACCGGGGTAAATCTGCACGATGAGACGGCACATAACTACACACGAAACAATATGTTTACTTGTGGGAATTTGAAGATTAAACAGAAATGAGAAAACTGAATGTAGAAGATTATATAATACACACCCCGCATGAGGAAGAACACCAGGCCAGCTACCTACACCAAAAGAGAGAGACAAAAAGGAATGTATGTAAACAGTTAGCACTACAATGAGCCAAAATTTCTCAAAAGATAATTTTTTTGGGATTAGAAGCTTCATCATGGGGCTTTACATTGATTTTTTGGCTCCTTCAAGTTCTGCTGCAGCTGTGCAGTGCTTTTGCTAGCACTCGAGGTATCATGCCTTTGCTGCTCCAAATTAAGGTTTAGCGACTGATTGCTGCTTAATGCTTCAGTGCTGCCACTGGGACTAGTTTCACTCTTCTTCTGCACGAGAATTAGCAAGTATAATGGTCTCAGACAAATTACGTAAAAATAAACTAAAATAAAGCAGTGAATAAAAACCACAATGGAAAGAGATTGCAATGCCTTTTGAACATCTTGAGCCATAGTTTCGGAATTAATATCGACAGTGATGTCTCTCTCGGGGGATGATGGCAGAGATGGAAGGGCCTGCAGAAAGCACATTTATTACTCAGAATTTCCACTAAAAGAAGGTAACCATTAATCATAAACAGCGATAAGTGGAAAAAACTTTTGTAATGTGTACTCACCATCAAATCAATCTCTATCCTGGAGCTCTTCTTAGTCCCATCCTCATAATCCCTGATCCACCACCATAAACATGATTAGCTTTATATAAGATAGATCTAGAGACGAAACAAATGAATAATGTTGTATTAGTGATCAATAATCAAATTCAGAATTTACAGAATTTAGAGAACAATGAAAGAAAGAAAGAGAGGGGAGAAAAAAAAAAGGAAACAGAAAAAAGAAGATGCTCACGCTTTTGTCACTGTTGGATACTGATTATCACAAGCATCTACTTTAACAAACGATGGCGACTCTCTCTCCTCTGGAGACCCCACTTTTCCTCTATCCACAGACCCTTCTGCATTAACAAATTCTTCAGCTGCTTTATTCGCCTCTTTTATGGCTTGCTCGTTTTCAACTTTGAAAGAGTCGTTCTCAACTTTACCATGCCCAGCTTTTAACCTCTTCAAATCTGTCATCCATCAAAATCCACATTAATTATTTTTCTCTCAGTTAAAAAAAAAAATGATAAGGAGAATAAATTGCAAAAGTACCTTCATCGTCGTTGTTATCTGCGCTATCTCTATTGGCTTTTTCTTCCCTTTCAGATGAGGGCGACTGAGAATGAGACTGTTTCATCAGATCGAACAGAGCTTCAGCCACCTCGATCTCGATCTCGTCTTGACTCATTGAAGACGACTTTGAATTTGATGGCACCGTTGCCGGAGACGGCAAATATTTCCCGCCGGTCGGATTCTCCCCAAATCCGCCATTGCCTGAATTTCTGCACTCGTGAAACTTCTTCACTGATGCTATACAAAATTTTGAAAAAATAAAACAAAACAAAGATAATTAACATTAAAATGGAACAGAAGGTAAGAAAATTTGGAAAATGAGGAGAAAAAATAGAACCCCGACGATATTGACCAAAATACTCTTACAAACATAACTTACCGGAGCGAGCTCGCCGAGGTACAGATACACCGAGCACCTCGTTGACGGAGACTCTGAGCACCGGCGACGACAGGAGAGTACGCAGACCCCGATGGTTAGGCGACGGCGGCAGCTGAGTGGTCATATTCTGCTGGTGAATTCTCGTCTCCACTCCCTCCTCAAAGCAATCTTCATCACTCGAGTCCAGGTTCACGCTCTCTCTATAACTTCCACCACCGCAACCGCCGACTCCGCCGCCACTCCTCTGCTGCACCACAGACCTATTCTCAATTCTCCTCCTCTTCGATAAATCTCGACCCCTCTCCTTCTTCCGCAATCGCTCTCGATCTCTCAACCTCACTGTCCCCTTCAACACCATCATCTGTTCAACCTCGTCTGCGAAAAATCAAAAAAACCCATCAACAAAAAACCATCACAAATAGGGACTTGCAGAAACGAATCACGATCTGAATTCAGAAATATTACCCGATGAATCCCTGAGAGTGGCGACCCTCTGCCTCCTCCTCAGCGCGCCGTTGACGGTAGAACCAGCACCTTGCAAATCTCTGCTTCTCCTCATCCCTTGCTCAAATCACATGATTCCATGGATTTCCACCATTTCAATGGAGAGAAAAAACGAAATGGAAATCCCAATAACGGCGAAAAAAATGAGGTTCACCGTGATTTTTTTTGCTCCCCTCTCTCTCTCTCTCTCTCTCTGAGCTCTGTTCTGTTTTATCGTCTCATCAACTAATCTGTTAGCTTTTTATTCTTGTGTTTTTTTTAACTTCACGCGAAACCTACTCCACAAGAGCCGGGGTGGACGGCGTCGATTTCTCTCTCGTCCCTGAACGTCACATCAGCCGTAGGATCTGATCTTCATCCAACGGACACGATGAGCCGGTGCCAGCGTGGCACAACTGTCACTTTCCGGGTTAAAAATCTGGTCCGGGGCCTCAAGCTGCCACGTTGCTTATGTTTGTGTTCTATTTTTTTAATCATTTATTACGACTACTTTTTCATTTTCACAAATTTATGTTAATGATGGTTTTGCAAATGTCATTGTAGTTTGTTCATTTGTTATACTTTTGTTTATAGTATTTTTAGTTTATAATGTTTTCAATTGAATGTATCATTATTGTGACAAGAGTATACCGTGCCTAAACACAAGAATTGTCATTTTATTTTATTGTATCAAATATTTTTATATTTATAATTTGTGCGATTTTCCTATATGATCTAAAAATTGTGAAAAAATCTTTTATATTATTTATTATATTACATCAAAATCAACTAATGTTGTTTCACGCGGTTTATTAGAAAAATGACAAAAAGAAACTGAATTTTAATGGCAAAAATGACTCAAATATAAAAGGATTTTGAACATTTTTTACAAAAATAAGCAAATTTTGGGAACAATTTTAATGGCATTTTGAATTTTATTGGAGCTAGTTTAATTAAATGAAATAATGGTTTTGTACTTTAGGATGGTTGAAGTTGGATAGTATGTAACGCCAGCTGACTTCTTTAGAATTGGATTGTAGATATGAAAAAATTTGCAATTAATATTGTTCTAATCTTCCAGCCTGTCCATTGATTACTGATAATATAAAAAATTAAAAATTAAATTAGCAAGATCTTAGGTGATTTAATGAGAACGTAATTTAGAAACTTTTATTTTTTTTTCCTTTTTGTATTCGATTAAGATTGCTAAAATGGCCTGTCAGTCTTGAGTATCTATCTTTTAGTTCCTATATTAGTTCGAATATTTAAGCAATTAAATTCAACACAGCTAGATTTTCAAAGAGCCAAATCAATTATTTACCCTGGACACAGTATTTGATTGATTTCCACAATCAGATAATTAGACGTAATCCAATTACTAATTTCGTTAATCAATAAATCAGGATAGAATTTGCAGATTTCACAAGTGATTGGTAATTACTTAAATTCTGAACGAGTTGAGCACTCGTAGATTGAAGGTTCATGAGAAACATTAGGCACTGTAAGCGGATAAAACTAATATTGATTGATGTTAGACCAGTTAAACATATTTAATTAGTTTGTTTGGTGAAGATATATTTAATCAATTTTTTGGTCTGAAACTTAATTATGCAAAATGCAAAATCTCAATAAACCACAATTTGGATAAATAGAACTAGTACGTACCCGTGCGATGCACGTGATTAAATGATTTATTTTCACAGGCTTTGTCCGTTTAAGTATATAAAGCAATGGAATTATCATCTATTTTCCACCTCTTTTAATCAGCGTTAAATTAAGTGTAATAAACAATAAGGTTACAATCTATTTTGCACTTTTTTAGTCAAAACATTAAATATGAGCATATTAGGGCTAGCTTGTAAAATAATTAATATATTATCTCACTGACACATTTATACTAATATAAATTTGATTTTAGTATATATATTTATTTCTTGATATAAGAGAGAATAACAATTTTACTTATTCTTGTTCACTATATAACACTTAATTATTATTTTAGTATAAACTTTGCTGTCATATAATTCATTATTATTTATAAAGTTATAGAAGTTCTACGTCTTTTTTTTTTCTTTTTATTTTATGTAATGAAAAATATTTAATGCACGTTGGTATTATTTATTTATGTAATCAATTTAAAATATGTAAATAAATTTAAAATTAAATAGTGTATAAATATTTTACAAAATATACCCATGTTTTTTTAGAATTTAGGTTTGTATACTAATTAAACAACTTTGATTCAGAAAATGCCAAAATCTCAATCCCTTCAATGATCAAGATTTTTCTAATTCGCATTATAAGGATTTGTAGTTTATTTAGCATACTCTGCAATTCAAATATATTTTACAAGAATTTGGTTATAGAAATAAATCAAAATAAAAAAATGAAAAAAAATAATCATGGGTGTTAATAATATACAAATAAATTCTAAAAAATAGTTTATATATTTCAATTTTAAATTTTTACCATTAGTAAAACTATTTAATGTATCTGGTCATTATCTCTTAAATAGTAAATTATATTAATTTGAAGAACAATTTATTTTTTATATTTAACAAAATAAAGCTTAAGAAAAAAATATATTGGCAAAGATTAATTCATCAACTTGATTTTGTCTGATTACTTGGAAAAAAAATTATACCTAACATGTTATGATTTTCCATAAATATTTTTGGATAAAAAGTGAATATTTGTGAAAAAAAAATAATATTATGGTTAGAACTTAAAATATGGTGTAATATTTATCTTGACCAAAATATTATCAACATGGATCATGGAAATCAATCTTTTAATTTAGTATAATGAATGTCAATGAAAGTATTACAAATATTAATAAAATAATATTTATCTTGACCAAATTATTATCAACATAAATCACGGAAAATCAATCTTGTAATTTACTATAATAAATATCAATAAAAATATTACAGATATTAATAAATTTTTTAAAGTAATTTTCATATCTTATTTGAAAACGTGTATATGGAAACAATTAATGCATATATTTAAAAAGTTTCCAAAAATGGTATGCATTAAATGTTTCCTAAATTTTTGGCTACTATTTTTAGTAAATGGTAATTCGTATTATATAGATATAGATTCATAAGTAACACATCAACATTAAATTTGCAAAACATCACTAATTTACAAATTGTATTGCTAATACAGTTAACTAGTCAAAACAACAATTTGATAACAATAATCAATTAATACTCAAACTATGTATAAGCTTTTTTTAATGCCGGGATAACAATTAGGCTGGTATTAATTCTTCAAGAAATACATGTTTTTATTATAAAATGTTATTATGTAAAAAAAAAACATGAAAAGGTATGTGATCTCATATTAGAATTGATGTAGTGTGGTAGACGATTGGGAATGAATGGAGGAGAGCTCTTTCGATAAACTGTATATTTTTATTCAAAATCAACAAAAGAACATCAAAGAAGATGAGTCACTTAAATGATACTTTCAAAACCCTAAGACTAACTCCCACGGTTGAGCAGGATTCACTTTCGAATCTGACCCGAATTTGTTGTCGTCCTCAACCGTTGTCCCACACACAAATGCCTATCTCAAATGAAATCGTCCTCTGCCCATTCATTAATTGACAAAGATAATTGTAGTAGCCCAAGAAAACAAACAGACTCTTATATTCTTCAAGTTATGGAGGGAGTCGAGCTTGCAAGTATTCACCATCAGGAACAACATGCTCGACAATCGAGTGCCTAATCAAACCACCCAAAAGCAGGACCAACCCAGTAAAGTTGTCATAAGACACATTCAATTTTTCATGGCTTAAACAATGACTCGATTGTTCAGGAATTATCCCACTCAAATCATTGTAATTCAATATGAGAGTGGCTTGTGTCTGTAGCATGCCCAAGGATTGATGAATTATCCCACCAACATTCTCAATGAAATGCACGTCTACCTCATTATTGCGTAAAACATCTGTGCAATCTCAATATACCATTTCCAGGTCAGAAAGGGTCATATATTTTAACGGGCCCACATCGCTGCAGGCATATTCTTTAGCCGCTGGCGGCTGCGCTCATCGAACACAGGCAGCCCGTCATAGTCGGCGGTCCTGCAGTCCTCGACCAAAAGCGCACGTGAAAAACTTGGCATAAGACAAGACGCTTGTCGACGCCCCAGCTCTCCGCAAGAAAAACACCGCAAACCGCATGCGGGTTGGCTGCCAGTTTTCGGCGCTGGTATCCTTTTGCGGTCAGAACATGCCGCATCCAGCGTAGGTGTCCCAGACGCTCCTCTGTCTCTGGTGTTTCTTCGTCGTAGAAGCCGGTGTCCTCTGTGAACAAAGCACGTGATCTGCTGACTGTTGAAATCGGTCCTCCATCTGCTGAAACTGGTTATTGATAGCGGCGTCACGCCGGTCGATTGCATCTTGTCGTCGCGACGGCATCGTGAATTGTGCAGACTTCTGATACCAATTGATGTAGCGTTGTAGACGATTAAGAATAAAAAGACAACTCTCTCGATAACATGTATATTCTTATTCAAACTCAACCAAATATCATCAAAGAAGATGAGTCCTTTAAATAAAACTCTCAACACCCTTAGACTAACTTATCCACCAAACTAAATCAAATAAATATTAAATAATAATAATAAATATGAAATAATATTAAACACTATTCTGCGTGAAGTATATATTTTTTTTTTTTCATTTTTTTTTGTTAACATAGTACACTACACTAATCTATCCACTAACAAACAAAAGGTTGTGAGTGACAAATATGTTCACATTAAGATTGCGATTTGTGTTTGGATAAAATCATTATTCAAATTTCAACACCACTAAAGACTGTTGAAAGTGAGAGATTTGATGTTAGCTGATGGTAAAATCTGGGATAAAGATCTGATCCTGTAAACTTTTTCACCTTTTGAGGCTTCTGAAATACTCAAAATTCATTTGAGCCTTGTCAATAGAAATGATAGACTGATATGACACCTTAATAATAAAGGAGAATTCTCAGTAAAATCAGCATATACCATTTTCCTGGAGAACTCAGATGGAGATTTGTGTAAAGCCAGTGCTAGTGGTGAGAATGGGAGGAGCAGACAGATGTGGAAATTAACTTGGAAGCTTCAATTTTAGCTTAAAATCAGAAATTTCTTGTGGAGATTGTTGAACAACTTTTTGAGTACTAAGAGGCAACTGGAGACTAGAGGAGTCCCAGGGGACATCATGTGTGCTACATGTGGTGAAGAGTCTGAGGATATAATCAATATTTTTGTGCAATGTGATAAGAGTAAAAGTTGTTGGAAGCTGTTTGGTCTGGAATGGGATAAATTTCAAAAGGATCACTTCATCTTTAGAGATTGGTGGGAGGACTTGTGCAATAATAAGAGAGCTTGCAGAATGAGAGAGAGGTTGTCCCTGTCAGCTTGTCTTTTATGGGGAATTTGGAAAGCAAGAAACAACCTAGCTAGTGTTTAGATGAGAAAGCTTTCTGGTTGAAGAGGTGGTGGCTGGCACTAGAAAAGATTGGGCAGAGACTTTTGATAACAGTTTGGGGAATGCAGTAAAGGAGACTAATCAAACTCATCCGATACAGCATCTTGAGGAAGAATTTTCCAAGAGGGTAGGACTTGTGTCTTTACAAGTCAGTGCCTTGCTTTCCTCCAGAGGCTTGGTTGGGGCTGGTTTGGTGGCTCAATGTGAAAATGAGATTCAGTTTGAAGCAAAAGTTAGCTAGGAATGGACAGGCAATCAACAGGAGGCAAATTTGTTAATTGTACGGTGGGCTCTGAATTTGGCTACACAGAAGGGATGGAAGGATATCTGCTCCTACTTGGATTCAGAAAGCTTGGCCAAAAAACTAAATGGAGATTGTTATTGTCTATTCCCCCTGGATCTTAGCTTTAAAAATGTGGTTGATGATATTGTAATGCTTTATGGTTGGGTTTCTTCTTGTGAAATTCTGTTTTCTTCTTCTTTATTAGGTAGTAAGACTTTGGCCATGTTGTCATTGGAGGGGGAGTGTTGTTAGCTCCCTCCCTCGATTGGCAGTCTTCCTAGAATGTGTGATAGTGTTGGATTACTATGTGTTCAGTTGAACAATCGATTGTATTTTCCTTGAGTTTATCTATATATATTGTTCGTTTGGAAGAAAAAAAAAAGACTTTGATTGTTTAGCCATAAACTATTTCGATTAATAAATTATAAATGTTAGATATCCTAATATATTTTTGCTAGTATGTAAATCTGCCTACATGCACCTATGCCTATAAAATCTTATAATGACATGAATATTATATTTAAAATCATAACCACTATAATGAGCATATAACCTCTTATAAATATGGTCATTAGTAAAAATAAAAAATATAACTTAAGACTATTTTACTTATATATGAATAATTATAGAGATTGCATAAAACGTAGGGAATAACATAATTTTTACAAATGTAAAAGATCATAATCAATTAATTAATTAAAAAATATTAATTTGTTATTATTTTAAAAAAAAAATTATGTAATTTTAAAGAGATTGTTATGTCGTTAAACCAAATTAACTGTTTAAAACAAATTTAATAAGTAAAATTGAAAGTATAATATTAATTTTGAAAAAAAAAATATAAAGCGTTAACATATTTTTAATAAATGTGTAACTTTAATAAACCTTTTAGTGTGGATTTATAATTAGTTAATATTAGTAATAATTATTATATAATATGATAGCTAAATATATTAATATAATTAACAGTTTATGGAGGGAAAAAATTGCATTTGAATCGCTACAATTACATTGAGAGAGAACAGAGATTTTGGAATCGATTAAAAAACAAAAGAAAATAGAGGGGAAATAATTATAATAATAATAATAATAATAATAGTAAGTAAAAAAGTGAAGAGTTAAAATATCTTATAGCTGTTTCAGAAAATTAAATA